TACCAACTGGTCGAAAATGGCTTCTAGTAGAGGCAAATGAAGGTCGGTGGCTGTAGCCAGACGAGAGATACGTGACCACGGTGGACGGAGAAGGATTTGGACAAAGACGACAAGAAGGAGACGAGGGTCATCAAGTCGGTCCACTGTCTGCGGATTAACTGCCTCATTGGAGCCGGAGAAGCGTAGAAGACGCACCCGCAAGAGGCGTTGGTGGCACCAGATGAAACCCAGATGCTGCATCACATGCTGGAGGGTGACTCGGTTGCGCTTTGGCAGATGGGCAATGAAGTCGCGAATAGCTGTGGGTCGGTCGGGGACTGAAAGAATGAGATGGCAGAAGGTTAAACTTAAAAATGGCCACAATAAGCTTAGGCTAAGAATTTCAATGACACTGGCTGGCACCGGCTGCCCTTTTGGTGAAGAGTGATGCAGGGACAAACACAATAGGACGTTAGAACGAGTGATTTTAATCACATGAATATTCAAATTGCTAATTCATAGTCATGCATTCTAACTTGTACCTAATAGATATGATCATGGCGATGTTTCGCATAGTGCGTTTTCCCAGAAACCTATTACAGGAGACAGGTTGAGCTAGAGAGAATCATTTTCATAAGAGGCGGAGACATAATATCACGTCGACATATGGAGGGATATATGTCTAGTCAGGTCTTGGCTGGGCGACACTTCGTTCCTATAGAGGTGGGGCATTTTGCTTGAAGCAGCAGCACTGACAAGCAACGACCAAAAATAGGCCCATACTCTAGTTGTCCTTTTTGGAAGGTTTGGCAAATCTACAGGATGTTGTGGCATCCACTGCGTACTATCTCATCTAAAATTAAATATGTACACTCCACTGGGTGCCGTTCTCCAACGACGGTAATTGAAAGGTCTCAGGGTCGAGTAGGCTTTCACGCGCACAGCATGGAGGACTGACGGAATAGGTTTACTGTACAAATGAACACTGAGAGTTCGGTAGTTGCCAGTAACAACGCCCACCGGTTGCCCCACGTGGGGGGGAGGCGGCACCAATAAACTGCGCGTTAACTAGTTGATAGTGTGAAAGCTTTTTTGTGGCATCTACCCCCCCCCACACTCTTCCTCTCTTTCTTCCCTCACCCACTTTGTCCAGACGACCGAAGGTGAGCTCACTGGATGGCTGAGACATAACGGCTTTGATCTTCGATCCAAAGGAGAGCCGAATCGTCTGGTCAACTTTCCAAACCCATTTTCAGCGCTGTGTGGTACTTTCGAGCATGTTAGATTAACTATTGTGAGGAATGCGCTCAATCGTC